AAGTCCGCAGACATACCGCTGTGCTACTGGTGGGTATATTATACAAAGTTAAGTACTATAGCATGGAAAAAATCGGAACGGTCCACATCAATCCAATAAATTCCACCAAACACATTAAAAGTGATTTGGTTAATTACACAAAGATTAATATCAGATTGCCTGTGTTCGTATGTGACTTAACTAATTGCACTGAATGTTTGATCGAACATTCTAAGTATTCTTTTCATCAGTTTTCGCGAAAATGCAAAAAACGACCCATCGTTGCAACAATATAAATAGAGTTCTATATGAGCTTAAAAAAAGTTTACGAAATTCTTTCTGGAGATGTTAGTATTTTAGGCTTAGTTATGGTGATGAGGGCTAGCAATCTTCAACTGGCCATGTGGTATGGGTTTTATCGCCTAATCTTTGCATCGAACTGTTAGGGAAGGATAACACGAATATGAAGTTAGAAAGATGGACATACTCAAACACTAATTCCAAGGAAATCTGATATCGTTGTTTGTCTTACTTAACGGTTTAATGCCATCTCAAACACTGATTCTAAGTAAAATGGGACAAAGTTGGTGTGTAAACAAAATCTCCTTTGGAGCTAATGGGTGAAAGTTAATGAACTCGTCTATTCAAGTCACTAATCTGATACATTCAACTTTTTGTTAATAAGTATTATCACTAACAGCGCCACTCTTCGTTTTCTTTCTTACCAATGCTTTTAGTTTGTTTGTTTTATTTTATTTTATTAGATACTTCTGTAGGATTTTTCTATTCAGTCGGTGTAGATAAAATAAAAGCAAACATGCAAACACTTCACGTGCCCTGAACTATGTATAACGTGCCCTGAACTATGTATAGATTTTTTAAAAACTTACATTTATATTTCAGGTTTACGAGGAAACAGTTTTAAAAAAAAGATTGTTGATTACAAACAACTGAACATTAAGAAGAGAACAATTCACAGATAAATATTTTCTGTTCGAACTAAATACTGTTGCTTCAGAAAGATATGATTGTAATGGAGGTCATTCCTTACGTTTATAGCATTAAACACCATTGTGCACTCCACTCACACGAGTGTATTCCTTCTCCCTTCACACGAGTGTATATTCCTTCTTCCCTCACACGAGTGCATATTCCCTCTTCCTTCACATGAGTGTATATTCCCTCTTCCTTCACACGAGTGTATATTCCCTATTCTTTCACACAAGTGTATATTCCTTCTTCCCTCACACGAATGTATATTCCTTCTTTCTTCACAAGAAATGTGCACGTCTTCTTTCTTCATAATTTAACACTAAAATTCGTCTTGAGTTATTCAACCAGTTGCTTCAATAATCAAACTTTACAACAAGTTTATTTTACTTTTAACTTAATATGGTGTATATAAACTGTGAAAGTTTTTTTCTGATTATGGTATATTAAAAAATAATTTTCTAATTATACTGAAGTACGTTTCCGCTTTCATGGTGAACTTCGTGTTTCAGCACAGAGTTAGATAAGTTCTTTTGGTTCTGGTAAATATTTCAATATAAATGTATAAAATTTTCTCTAATGACTAAAAATTCGCTTCTACATAATAGCCAGGATTTATTTTCATTATTTAATATTAGATCTCTGTTGATAAACATATTTTAGATGTATGAACCCATTGAAAAAAAGAGCGATATACTTAATAATTCAACTAAAGTAAACAGTTGTTTATGTTTAAACTTTTCATGATCTGAACTCATGTTTTTTTTTTATTTTAGTTCTGTTGGTTATTGTTATATTTATTTATAAACACAGAGTAATTTTAAAGTATAGAGACGTATTCTCCGAAAATATATCCCACAGGCGATTCATGATTTATATAAATGGACCAATCGCAGTGAACGTGTTTCGAGTTAAAAGATTTTTGTTGTGCGACGATTTTCTGTTAGGTTTTGTTTTAGTGATGTTGTAAAACTTTAATAAAAAATAATCTACTCTATAGGCTTATTTATTATGGAACTTCAAAGTTACATTCATACACATACAAATACAAGTTTGAATACCAGTTTTACGACAGTAATTAAAAGAACAAAACCTTTCTACTTAACAACACAGAAATAAGTTATATATTTATTTTTACTTTCTTTATATTGTAATATATATATATTGTGTAAAGCCTCATCTAATAAATTTCAATGCCAGTTAGCATGGCTAGTAATCTCGGGACAAGAAAACATGACAAATTACATTTTAAGGTTTGCCTATCATGCAATCCTAGGGATACTTGATTTTTCAGGCTGCTCAGACAAAGGCGAGTCAATATCTAATGAATAAATAACTGAGCATAGTGTCCTCGAAAAGGGTTTCGAAACTCCTGCCTTCATAAGGTCCTGATGAAGAAAGACATTAAAATACTGAAACTTCATCCTTCGAACAGAATGGGTTTGGACTGTAAAAACTTTCCTTCAGTTTAATGTTACATCTTTCATGCTGAAAGGTAATTGGTAGATAAACTTCATGGACGATTTCTCTTTTTTAATTTACTGAGTTAATAAATTTTCAAGAATTTCCTGTTCCTTGTGATGGTTTATGGTTAAAAATTCAACACTGTTCTCTAAAGTTCCTCTTGACTATGAACCGTTAAGTTTTCAAAGATGTTTGTTTATTTTTATTGGTCAAAACTTTCAACGCTTCCTAAAATGGACTGCTTATATTTTCAATAGTCCAAAAGAGTGACCTAAATTACAATTTAAACAAGTACATAAATTGATGTACAAAATTTACTAGACCAATGTATGAAGAACGTTAACTGGGATAATTAAAACTGGATAATACGATTTCATTCACAATTAACGGAAATTATCGATTTTTTATTTAATATTAGAAGATAAGATATTTTTTCTTTGACAAGACAAAACAGAACTCGATTGAAAAACACGTTATTTTCTTAACCACGTAGAAAGATTCTATTTACTTGTCTTTACTTCAAACATAGTTTAAAACTAACTAGAATGTTACGTATAGTAGTGGACGTGCGAGTTCCCAATGTAACACAATAGACTAGATGTAAGATCACGAGTCATATCATCCGTTAACTAATATCATATAAGACGGTAAAGTGTTAACACAAATCGATAACTATTTCGATAACGGCGCCACTCAAATATTACAGATATCGCCAGGAACTTTAGATTTATAATAATCATAGTGACCATAGAATAAAATGTCACATATCGATCACGATTTCACAAAAGTTGACATTAAAAACGACATTTTTTAAGTGAGTTGACCTTACACCAAGAGTAAGTACGAAGAAGACTTCACGAACCGTCACGTTTCTTCCAATTTCATTGGAATTACAAATTGGGTTTATTTTTCAATGGAATAGCAGCACAGCTGTTCATGGAGAGGACCATAGATTTTCCGCCATCAGTGACAGATGTAGCCTGCATGGACATGGAAAACCGAGGTTTCCTGTTTGAGTTGTATGTTTCTCCCAGTGTTCGGTTAAGCTTGAAGTGGCGATAGGATCTCTTCAATAGATGTCGAACCTAGAAAAACAAAACAATTCCCCACATTTAAGAACAGCCTAGTCGTTTCAAAAACCTGCCGATAACTAGGAAGATGAAATTACTTAAGTTTTCTAAACTTTAATGTCTATATCTCCTAGACTTTGATATAAATCGAACTAAATTTAAATAAATGTATGACAAGAAAAGTTTCAGACGTATTTAATATATTCTAAGTTTGAAGCGGTTATATCTCCTAAGACTCTAGTTTGAATAGAACGATATTTAAATAAAGTTTATATATAGAAAAAGAGATTACTCTAAATCTTTTAATGCCCCCTCCCCCGTTGGCTCATGATTCAAGGGAAGTCTGAGGCCTTATAACGCTACTAATCGGATTTCGATACTCGCGGATAGCCGATTGTGTAGCTTCGTGCTTACGAACAAACGAAATACCATCTTAATAATATTCCCAAATTTAAACGTCTGTGTCTTCAACTCTGATAAAAATGTAATAAAATTTTGATAAAATATATATTATGGACGAAAATTCTATAGATCCTATAAAATTATCACAACCTTTAACCACCTGTATTACTGAGCTTCTAAAGTGACCATCATCATCGGAAGGTCAGGTGCATGTTTGACCTCTTCCTCCCTCCTTGAATGTTGTTTTAATTGACGCTTGTAGTCTATTTTATTTTATATACTATTTATCCTTTCCTTTTCAGGGCCATGTCCATGAATGCTATCCTATGGCCGGTGTAGTCGAGACTCTGGAATGGGGTGACTTGGTTTTAGATGTTTTGTTAATTGAGTGTGTAGTATTTGGACTCAGGAATAAGTATATGATGTGTGAAATAACAGGTATAAGATGTTGTTTAACTATTTCTGCTAAAAGCGTGAAACCGTCTGTACTGTTTTGGGGGGTTTTCTGTAGTGGTGTATGAAATCTAAGAATGTATATTTAATTGCCACGATGATGGGATTTGTTTCAGTTTCAAGTATATTTGCTTCTACAGACTGTTTATAGTTTCGATTTTTTGAAAGCAATTATCGTTTGGTATGGCCTACAGTAAGTGAGACAGGCTACAAGTGACGTGTGGCTGACGTCATGCACTGGCTCACAATGTTACAGTAAAGTTGCTCTACAATTTGTTTGTTGTTATGTGCAAAGCTACAGAATGAGCTATCTATGCTCTACCCATCATGGTTATCGAAACTCGGTTTTTAGCGTTATAAGTCTGCACACTTACAACTGTGTCGCTGGGGTTAACAAATAATTGATGTCATTATAGTCACAGAAAAATACATGAACTCCACCATTAATTCAGTATGGCTGTCTTTTATTGTAAGTTGCTTGACAAATGCTCTCTAGTGGCACAGCAGTAACCTGCGAACTTACAACGCTAAAAAGTGGGTTTCGATACCCATTGTGTAACTTCGCGCTTAACAATAAACAAGTAAAATCGTTTGCTCGTTCAATTTTTTTTTACTGTTTATTATGAGCGTTTTTTTATCTTGTCAGTAGTTACCCCAGCTCTTGCACAACGCGCCGTTAGAGTGCACTACACATGTGTCGACCTCAGGGAAGAGAGTAGAGACGAACATGTCATCAGAGACTATGAAATCATAGTTCCACGAAGTGGAACCACAGGGCGCTGGTGCCATGCAATGATGTCACCAGAGAGGGCGTGTTGCTAGGCCGCCATCACAGGTGGCCATGACGCCTGAAATTGTAACCGATCTTATCAACACAAATCAGCGACAGCTAACCCTGTCACCATTATGCATATATAATTCATTGTATTCTATAATGAAATCTCATACATTCACATGTTGATTGATAACTGACTTTTAAACTAAGTGACATACAAAAACTGCAGTTAAAGTAGGTGGGCATTAAAATTGTATAGGAAATATATGACTGTGTAGAGTTTGAATTGTTTATTTTCAATATTAAATATAATGTAATACACAGATAGCGACAATGTATTATAATTGACTTTTATTTTATGCGAAGTAGAATTGGTGAACTCGAAAGTGACCTTTTCTCATTAGTCACATGTTGGTCAACGACCTTTCTCTCCTTTCTATATCTTCCTTTTCTCTGTCCACCCTTCCCACGTGACGAGCTTTGTATTTCCTACTTGACACTGTGGTTTTAAACACGTATGTGATGTAAGAATTTCCTACTTGACACTGTGGTTTTGAACATGTATGTGATGTAAGAATTTCCTACTTGACACTGTGGTTTTGAACATGTATGTGATGTAAGAATTTCCTACTTGACACTGTGGTTTTGAACATGTATGTGATGTAAGAATTTCCAACTTGACACTGTGGTTTTGAACACGTATGTGATGTAAGAATTTCCTATTTGACACTGTGATTTTGAACACGTATGTGATGTAAGAATTTCCTACTTGACACTGTGGTTTTGAACATGTATGTGATGTAAGAATTTCCTACTTGACACTGTGATTTTAAACACGTATGTGATGTAAGAATTTCCTACTTGACACTGTGGTTTTGAACGTGTATGTGACGTAAGATACATCTTTACTGTAGAAAAAAGTTCAGTCCTCAAATATTAAAAAAAAAACGGTAAGTGTTGTTATTATACAATAGTGATTAATCATGTTTATTAATAGTTAAATGATCGTTCAATAGTTTTTTTTTATTCCTGTAAACTCCCAGTGGAGCATAGGGCCGCAACAACACCTCGCTAATGGAAGGTGTTGTTGCAGTTACTTGTAGCAGGTTGGTTTTTACGGGGTGGAGTTGCTAGCCCCGCGCCCAACCCTCCTCCTTTCTCATCCTGGACTTGGGACCAGGCAAAGGCGGAGGTTGGCATGTTTGGTGTGGCGGGGGATTCGAACCCGCGACACTCATATTACGAGTCGAGCGCCCTAACCACTATAAAAAACATTAGGTGTAACAAAAACTTATCAACAATATCTTAAATGTGATAGTAACGCTATCCAGCTATAGAAACAGTAGAAAAAACACCTATGCCATGCAAGTTAAATGCACTGATTTTTAGGTGTTACTGTAATACTGTTTCAAAATATATTTTAGTTTTGAAAATATAAAACAAGATAATTCAATTAAAAACTAGTTTGTTTGTTATAGACTGTTACCATTCATTGTATAATAAAATATCATACATGTTGAAAAAATATTGTAAGCTGATTGTTATACAGTATGGTTGTTTTGTGTTTACAAACAAAATTAGTGTGTATTTGTCTCTGAGTGTGAACAATATGGTATATATCCTGCTTATTATTGTTGTAGACAAAGCTGAACTTGTCACAATGAGTCAGAGTGAAATGTCTCTGTGGTGTTAATGAACCACAGATGGAAATGAAAAGAATGTCTATATACTGCATACTGTCCTACAGGAGTATAACAGACAGTAAGATTGTCGTTAAAATAATGGTTTTAACCTAATTGAATCTAGACATTGATGACGTAATGTTATGTGGAAGTATAGTGTTCACTCTTGTAAAACACGTGTAAGATAAAACTATAAAGTAACATGTGTAAATGATTTATTTTGCCAAGTTATATCGATATCATAAAGACTAACTAGGGAAACATTAGATTTTAAATTAATGCATGGCATTTGAATAAGCGTCATTTTTCAAGATGATTTACATATGAATGGTCAGAAAATGTAATTAGATACAGAACTAATAAATTAGTGTTTTAAGCCTAGCCATGTTGAAACACGTTGATACATGTGGCCTGCGTCATTGTCTCTGACGTCATGGCGGCCTAACAACGCGTCCTTAGCAAAGCACCCTCTCTGATTACATCATTGGATGGAGCCAGCGCCCCCTGGTTCCACTTCGTGGAACTATGACATCATCGTCTGTGATTACATCTTCGTCTCCAGCCCTTCCCTCCCTGGAGGTCGACACATGTGTAGTGTCCTCTAATGGCTTCTTGCGCATGAGCTGGGGTAACTACTCATGTCACTTATGTGCAAGATCTAACTTTTCTCACATTAAAACTGTATCTGTAAAAGAAAACGCTTCTCGAGATTTCTCACTGTAAGATTAAAAAGAACCAGATGGCGAAACATTCTTTATTTGATAATCACTTGATATCTGAGAAGATAATTAATTATTGATTTCTAAATTGGAATCATATTATCAGATACCAGCCCCCTTCCCCCAGTGGCACAGCGGTGTGTCTGTGGTCTTATATTGCTAGAATCTAGGTTTCGATACCCGTGGTGGGCAGAGCACAGATACCCCTTTATGTAGCTTTGTGTTTAATAAGAAACAACAGATACCAGGGCGATTTCACGAAAATTATAACATAAAAAAACATTTCATGATAATGTTGTCTCCCAGTGAGTCAGTGGTGAGTTTACGAAATTACAACACTAAAATCCCGTGTTCGATTTCCTGTGTTCAACTTAAGCTAAAACGAAACACAAACTCCCGATAATTTCTTCCACAAATATGAAAACAGAAAACAGCAGTTGATTTTTTCAGAGACATTATAAAAACATTATAATGCATTATTAGTTCAGTAAGAGCTGTTGTTGGTGGTTTTTAGTGCAAAGCTACACAATGGGTTATCTGCGCTCTGTTCACCACGTGGAATCGAACCCCGGATTTTAATATTGTAAGTTCGGAAACGTACCGCTAATCCCTCCGGGGGAGTTTTCAGTAAAAATATTAATATAGACACATGATGCTTATGTAAGTGTGGTAATATTGAAATAAGTAATTCATTATAAACCCTGCTTCATGTGTATAAGACGATGAAAGGAAATAAGTTAACTCTTTAAGTTTTATGGAAAAAATGCCACTAATTAATAGTATACTACTTAGTCTATATGATAAGTAAATTATATCATATTCAGGGTGTAACAAACAGTTGAGCACGTTTTGAAGCGAAATATTTACTAAATGAAGAATTTGTTTGTTTGTTTATTAAACTTCGCGTAAGACTACTCGAGGGCTAACTGCGCTAGCCTTCCCTATTTAACTGAACTCTTCGCCTTTAGACAAACACATTGACAAGAGTTCGGTCTCGAATTGTATCTATTGTTCTCTCTGATGCGATCTTCGAAACCACGTAATACGAAGAACCCACGAACTCTATAGATGACACCAAAACAGTTTTAAATGAGTAACTGAAAGTAATTTATTAATATCGTATCACACACATCGTTTCATCTTTAGGTATGACATTTTCAAGTGTAAATATAAACAATATACAGAGTAACTGTTAGTTACAAATAACTATCATATAATGCCTTGGAGGACGAGTTTAAAATATCAAACAATACACGAAAAACATGAATTGACACTCGGCACATAATATTTAACAACAGTTAAGAATCCATAAAGGTCTGTATGACCTAGTGTTCCGTCTTTGATCTAATAATAATCAAGAAAAAAAAGCGGTTATTTGTTGAACTCACCAACAGATGTCACTGAAAATACCTGAAAAACAAAACTAAAAAAAACAAACAAAAAAATATGAATTCCACTCATGCAACAAGATTCTCCTAGATCAGTAACAGGCAATATAAATTCCTTTGTAGGAGTTACGCCATTTCTAGGAGAGAATGTAGCTACCCCACTAAACTATGGAATAAATAAAGTAGTAAGCACAACAATAGCAATCACTATACCTAGATTATTGTAGTCATGGAATGACCTGATCCTAGATTATTGTAGTCATAGAATGACCTGATCCTCTTAATAAATTGAAACATTTCTTTGAAAGGAATGGTTCATTTGTATTGTTTAGGGGTATGCTTGAAAATGTTTCGCTTAGAGATGGAATACTGTATGATACGATGCTAATAGATTAATTTTAAGTGATCCATTTGATGCTTTAGTATACGTGTTGTGTTTGTCTTGAGATCAACAAGTGTAGCTGACAGTTGGGTGTAAACAGTATTTAATTTCTAGATAAACATGGGTACAGTATGTCTGTTGTTGAATGGGGAGGCTTTAAGTTTTGGAATATAGTAATTTAAAGGTTATTGGGGATATTATTGGAGTAATGTTTTTGATTACGACAGTCTAATATCAAAGTAAATGAGACAGTCTTTAAACTAATTATAGTGTTCTTGCCTTTAGTTTAAACAAATGTAAAACATCTTCCATACCTCAGATCTGGAGATATCGGCAGAAATTAAGCACCAGATGTAAACTATAGACTTGGCACCTTCCTACAGTCTACGGTATTAGGGTTGGAGAACATGGTGCTTACCATGTTGGTCCCGTACAACCAATCTAGCGGTATGGTAGATTGGTCTCACGAAAATAAAAGTACAAAATGGGGCGATGTTCCGTCTTGCTGAAAGAAAAGTTTTCCAATAACACCTCTAGCTACCATCTTTCTCCTTCACGTTGAAGAAGGTGAATATAGGACTGTTCTCTCTTGAAATGTTCGTAGAACATTCGTCGTGAAACAGCATATCGAACTTTTGTCAGCCAATTTTGAACGTACTTTATTTCCCTCGGTTACTGAAGGGATGTTTCACTCATGCTGGGTTGCTTATGGATCTTCTTACTGAAGGGACGTTTCACTCATTCTCATTTGCTCAGGCATCTTCTTACAAATTTCTTGTGTTTGTGAACTGCTTATGTCATCATTTAATTTCATTTTTCGGTGTTCGTGCACGATAAGTTTGGAATAAGTTTGCACACGAACAACAACTTTGAATTCTGTGTGCTATAGAACTGTCAGTTTTTCTTTCCTGAACAGTTATCATCATATTGTAATTATGTGTTGATAAAATCTTGAACCTCACTTGATTGACGTCAGATTGACGAGATGAAATAAAAAGTGAGTATTATTAAGCCAACGTAACATGAACATTTCCACAAGTCTTAATTTTTCTTTGTTTAAAAGTTTTTAAAATGTGTACATTCATTGTGCTCACTACTTGTACGTTTTGTTTGCAGCACAAGAAATAAAAATTGCACTATTACAATTTTCATGTTTTAATATTCCAGACACCAGTTGATAGAGGGTACTGAATAGGTTTTGGTTATTTTAGCACAAAGCCACACTGGGCTATCTGCTGTGTCTACCGCAGGGAATCAAACCTCGGATTTTAAAGTTGTAATTCCGTAGATTTACAGCTGTCCCATGGGGGGAGGGAGTCGAGTATTTTTACTTCTAAATATATCCACATTGCTCAAAAACTGTTAAAATTGTTTAAGGTATGATATTTACAAAAATCGTAATATATTCATCTAGTTAAAACTTACCGATCTTTACAAAAATCGTAATATATTCATTTAGTTAAAACTTACCGATCTTTACAAAAATCGTAATATATTCATCTAGTTAAAACTTAATATATTCATCTAGTTAAAACTTACTGATCTTTACAAAAAACGTAATATATTCATCTAGTTAAAACTTACCGATCTTTATAAAAATTGTAATATATTCATCTAGTTAAAACTTACCGATCTTTACAAAAATCGTAATATATTCATCTAGTTAAAACTTACCGATCTTTACAAAAATCGTAATCTAATCATCTAGTTAAAACTTA